GGTCAAATGCTGTGTCTTCCTAAATTTAAACATTGAGGTTTCAATTCTCAATGTAAAGTTATTTGGATATGGGAGGTGATTAGGGTTAGATGACATGCTGAGAATAGTCCCTAATAATGGGATTAGTGACCTTTTAAGAGATGCATATCTCTCTCTCTCTCTCTCTCTCTCTCTCTCTCTCTCTCTCTCTCTCTCTCTCTCTCTCCTCTCCCCCTCTCCCCCTCTCTCTCCCTCTCCCTACTTTACCCTCTGCACACAAAGAGGTCAGAGGAGCACATAGGAAAATGGTAGCCCCTTACAAACCAGAAAGAGAGTCTTCACCAGGAACTAAATCATCTGGTACCTTGATCTTGGACTTCCAAGCCGCTAAAACTGTGGGGGGAAAAAATAAATCTCTGTAGTTTAAGCCACCCGAACTATGATTTTTTTTTTATTTTTTATTTTTTATGGCAGCCTGGGCTAAGACACTAACAATGTCAAAGAAAGGCACACAACCGAGTGGATGTGCCTGGTAAATTCATCATTACCCATCTAAGATGAGTCCTCAAGTATTGACAAGGAGTTCTAAATTTCATTAGTTAACTTATTCTCCTACTCATTATAAGAGAGACTAAAACTTTCAGCTGGTGACATTGTCTTTTATTTTCTAAATAAAGCAGAAGCTATCAGATGGGAACCTCCCAACTTTCTAATAAAAAAAATCAAAACTGCATCTGTACCCATCCTCCCACCATTCTCTCTCATTACTAGTGAGAATTGGTACCTTCAACCAAAGCTCAATCCATCCATCTGTGCTTTGAATCCCATTGCTTTTCTGCATTCTCACTTCTAATCATTTTTTCTCTCTCTCTTGCTTTTCTAACCTTTCCCTCTCAGTGGTTTTACTCCACCAGCTTTACAATGTACCCAAGTCACTTCCATGAAAAATAATACAATAGGGATAAAATGTCTATTCAACATTCCCCAATGACACTCCCATCCCTGCCCACCCCTGACTCTGTTCACAACTTTTTAAGAGTTATATTATTTTTACTTCCCATTGATGCTTTTACTGGCTCCTATTTGGCTTCCACCTTCATTGTTCTATTGAATCAGTACTTATTGATCTGTGTACATGAAGACAATTAGCTTTTTGTCCATGATATGGGTTTCAAGTATGTTTTCTCAGGCTGTCATTTTACTTTGGCTTTTGTTTATAGAGAAACTTGCCGTGTGTGTGTGTGTGTGTGTGTGTGTGTGTGTGTGTGTGTGTGTTTAGAGGTTTGTGTCTTTAATTTTATCAATCTTTTCTGAATGGCTGCTGGGTTTGGGTGTACTTAGAAAATCTACTTCTTTGAGATTAAAATTAACAATGGTTTGGTAATATCTCTGGCTTATAGCATTTTAGATTTGAGGACATTTTATATGTTATACTTGTAAGTTTGTCTTTTCTGATGAGGAGACAGAGGAGGTTGGGAAAATACTGAATAAATATGGTTTGCCCATTCAGTTTTACAGGATTTTTATAGGTTAAATTTGGCATTTACAGTTTTCATTATTTTTTAATATATTTTATTGATTTTTTACAGAAAGGAAGGGAGAGGGATAGAGAGTTAGAAACATCGATAAGAGAGAATCATTGATCAGCTACCTCTTGCACACCCCCTACGGGGATGTGCCCACAACCAAGGTACATGCCCTTGACCAGAATAGAACCTGGGACTTTTCAGTCTGCAGGCCAACGCTCTATCCATGAGCCAAAATGGTTTTGGCCAGTTTTCATTATTTTTTTTAAATTTTTTTATTATTATATTTTTAATATATTTTATTGATTTTGTACAGAGAGGAAGGGAGGGGGATAGAGAGTTAGAAATATCGATGAGAGAGAATCATTGATCAGCTGCCTCTTGCACATCCCCTACTAGGGATATGCTCGCAACCAAGGTACATGCCCTTCACCAGAATTGAACCTGGGACCCTTCAGACCCTAAGCCGACACTCTATCCATTGAGCCAAACCAGTCTCGGCCAGTTTTCATTATTTTTATTGTGAATCTTTTTAGATCTCTGAATAGGCTTTGTGCACATGCTCAGATAAAGAATTGTAACATGCCAAAAGAAGTTCAGAGAGCTGTGTGAAAAATCATGTGGTTCTACATTAGTTTTATACTTTGTACTGGATATAATTGATTAATTATCTTCAGAATAGTAATCTAGAGAAAGAATGAGATCCAGGACATATTGCTCAGGAAAATTAAGAAATTCATTTTATCAAATAAGGCCCCCATGTGGTAGTTTAATGACACACCATACATTAAAAAAAAAATGACTTGTTTTAAATTAAAATCTTGTTCACCAAGTACCAGTGTCAACTGAATCCCTCTAAGAGTAAATTTGAAAAGTAACATTATTACCTGATCATCTAAGTTATTGTTCTACCATGATTTTAGTCATAGTACCAATAACATGAATACGCACTTGAGTCTAGAAAGCTAATTTTGAGAATAATTACTTTTCTCTTTTCTCTGTTTGACGTGATCCTTTGGTTTTGTCTTCTTGGTGTTTCAGGTGTGTGTTTGCTCCTTCCCCCAGGACAAACCAGCCGGGTGTCTAGGAGTTTTCTCGATAATTGGTGGCTTTCCACTCTTCTCCCTGTGCGGTGTTCATGTGTGTTTTAACAATAATTTCAGTTTAGGCAGTATTTGTCATTGCCAGGGTAAATATTTTGCTGACGCCACCTGCATAGCCAGTGAGTGCATCTGCTTCCTGGTGGTACTTGTGGATTCACACTTTTGGGGCAGCAAGAGGAAACAAGTTAAATGGGAGTTCCTGGGAGGGTAATCCTCCTTATGAGTCTCTACATCTCTATAGAGCAGCCAAGAAATGTTTGGGGCCAGAACCGGTTTGGCTCAGTGGATAGAGCATCAGCCTGTGGACTCAAGGGTCCCGGGTTCAATTCCGGTCAAGGGCATGTACCTTGGTTGTGGGCACATTCCCAGTGGGGAGTGTGCAGGAGGCAGCTGGTCGATGTTTCTGTCTCATTGATGTTTCTGACTCTCTATCCCTCTCTCTTCCTCTCTGTAAAAAAATCAATAAAATATATTTTTTTTAAAAAGAAGAAATGTTTGGGAACTGACCTAGAAAACCCTCCTGCTTTTATTGGTAAAATACAAAATGCAAAGCCTGTTTAACTTATTTTCTTATAATTTTAATATAAAATCAAATTTATTTATTATAGTATTAGCTAAGGCAAAAATTTTTTTTTCTTGCGCACAAAGTTTTATATTATTGCAATTATATTTAGTAGCTGAAAGAGCTCCGTCTTTGCCCTGATGATTTAAAATAGAGATTAAAAATTTTTTACTACCTCGGAAATTAGTAGTCTACATACAGTGCCATTACACAACATTTTGTATTTTGAACGCATTCAACATTGAGTATCTCCTGTAGGACTGTACATAATATACATGTAATATATATAAAGTGCGGTGATATCCACACTAAACTATATATCCTATAGCATTCTTTGAGACAAACTGCAAAACCAGAGGCGAAAGTTGTACGGATTTTGGAGCCACCCAAACCAAAATTTCAGTAACATAATGCCAACGGTGTCTTCAAGTTAAGTTTAATAAATGTGTTATTGAGAATCTGTTCTTTGCACAGCGCCCTCTGCTAGGTAGGTCCCACAGGGATATGCAAAGGGAGGTGAACAGATCCATCAACTTAGGTGGATGCCAGAGAATGCAGGGCCAGAAGCTAGGACCTCCCCACTAGTAAGACTGGGGAAAGGAAGAGGGAGAAGCTTTGGAAAAGTGGACGCTAGGTTCTGAATCCGCAAGACAAGGTATTACTCCCTGCCTCTCTCAGGGAGCACCCTGGGGAAGACCAATCTGCTCCCACCCAATGCCGGGGTCCCTGCCCGGACAGAAGGGTGCAGGGAGAAGCCTGAGCACTGCGCTGGTTTTGACGTGGGCAGCCTTGGCTGCAGGCAGTGCTGGGGTGACCTGGAGGGCCAAGAAATCCCACCCGCGGACCCCTCAGGACGGATGCATTACACGAGTTATTTCCCTCCTTCGGGCTATCCGTAGCTGTGTGTCAGTCCAGGGGAGAGCATGTGGACAAACCCCACTTCCTTCCTGGGAGTCAGGCCCTGAAGTCGGGTGCAGGAGCCAGCGCTGCTGCATTCTCGGCGCCTAGGCTGCAGATGCCACTGGATTTTGGGAGCCGGTTTCCAGGACAACCACCAGCCACTGAAAGCTAGGGATCCCAGCCGTGAACGCCGGCTCCGTCACCAGCTCAGGTCTCCCCGAGACAACCCCGCATCCCACCATCCCCGCGCCCACAGGCGCGAGGCTCCCCCGCGCGTGCCGCCTGCCAGCACCGCGCCCGCGGCGAGCGCCAGCCCCGCGCCCTGACAGCTGCCCACGCGCCGGGGCGGAGCCGCAGCGCCGCGCTTTTAGGGTCCGCGCGGCGGGCCCCGCCCCCGGCGCCCCGCGATTGGCTCCCGGGGTAGCGTTGGCGGAGAGGTGCAGGGAGGGCGGGGCCGCGCGCGGGAGGCCCCGGTGGGTGTCCGGGGAGTTGGCGGCGGCGGGGCGCGGGCGGCTGGGCGCGGGGGTCGGCGGCGGGCACGTGCGCGCGCCGGCGGCCGAGGCCCCGCGGGGAGGAGCGGGGGGCCCGGCGCCCACCCGCACGCGGAGCCCGGCCGGCGGCGGCGCGCGCGGGGGCGAGGGGGAGGCGCGTGCGTGTGTGCGCGCGTGAGTGTGTGCGCGTGAGTGTGCATGTGCGCGTGAGTGTGTGCCCGTGTGAGTGTGTGTGTGTGTGTGTGTGTGAGTGTGTGTGTGTGTGCAGCTCCGGTGCGGAGCTCCAGTCGTCAGCCCCCGCGTGCGGGTCCCCGCCGTCTGCTCCATCCTCCCCGCGTCCCCGCAGCCCCTCGGTCGCATCCGGAGGGAGAGCCTGGAAGGCGTGGGGGTGGGGCGCGCGGGGCGGCCCAAGACAAAAGGGTCGCGGGGTCAGCTCGCCATGGCTTCCCGGGGCCTGGGGGGCCTGAGCGGGAGCCGTGGCGGGGGCGGCGGCGGCGGCAAGAAGAGCCTGAGCGCCCGCAACGCCGCGGTGGAGAGGAGGAACCTGATCACCGTGTGCAGGTACGGGCGGCCGGCGGCTCGGGGTGACGGGAGGGGGCTGCCGAGCCCGGGGCTGGGGGTCGCGGGGCACCCCGCGCGCGGCAGCCCTGCGTCCCGGGTGTGCCCGCGGGCCCGCGCGCCCCCAGGCGGGCGGGGGTCCGGGCGCCGCCGAGGCCGCGGACCGGCTGTCAGTTCCTCCTGCGGGGCTGCGGGCGGGCGGCCGGGCACGGCCGGGGCGGGGCTGGGGCTGGGTTTGTTTGGAACGTGCACCTGGAGTGCAGGGGAGCCCGGGAGGGAGGGAGGGCTGGGGGGAGCGCTTGGATTGCCTTCAGCTGTCAGCCGGCTTCTGGCGAAGTAGCGGTTCCTGGGGCGATGGTTTGCTGTGCTGCCTCCAAAGCAGTGTGCATCCCGTGTTTGTTTTGGCTTGTTTACACATATGAAGTCATTTCGTGCGGCAGATCTCGAGTGCCTGCCGCATGCTAGCCTGTGGGGTGTGTGTGTGTGTGTGTGTGGGTGTGTGTGCGCGCGCGTGCGCGCGCTTCCTCTCCACTTTGAATTGCGGTGCTGGTTGGTGCTGTGTCTGCAGTTGTTAGCAAGAGTGGGACTGTGGAGGACACCTAGGCGACGTGTCAGTGGCTTAGTCCACGTTCTGCCTTTCCTCGCGTGTTTTCTAATGATGAGCGCAGTATTCCTCACTTTCCCTTTCTATAGAGACTTAAAAGGAATAATTACTATTTCCAAAAGGCATTACTATCTGTAAAAGGATAGTAATGTTACTGTCTACATTAACTTCTTTTTCATATGCTGACATATTTTCTTTAAGTCTTATTTATGAGTAGTAAAAAAAAAATTGAAATCCTAGGCATCCATTTCTTAGGGACTTCTTTGAACAATTAGGTTGTTTTAAATTTACTGTACTTCGTTCAGTACAACTCCTCATCATCAGCCATTGAGAATCCTCTATGAATGAAAGATGATGAAACTTTTTTGTCCTTTGCAGTCTATAGCTATATTTTTCTTTTTCTTTGTGTAAAAAAAAATGTATTTAGCATCTTAAGCCAAATATAGATAGTTATACTAGGATGTATTTTTAGTGATATTTTAGTGACTTTTTGTTCTTAACTTGGACTATTACAAATGTTCACCTTGCCTGCCTCACCAACTATTATGGCACTGGGGTTGCAAACAGTAACATTGTATGAAATCTTTTAAATTTACCATTTGTGCAGTTTAGGATGCAACCTTTTGAGGAAGATAGGCTGTATGAAAGTTATCAAACCTAGGAAAATATTTTTTAAGTTAGGTAGATAGAACAATTTTCTTACCTTTATTTTACAGCTATTAAAAAGAATTATTTTATTTTATTTTTTAAAAGAGGATGTTCTCAAGCAAGTTCCAACATATGCAGGTGCTTCTTAGGCGAATGTATTTCATAAAAGCTTCATCAGAGTTAACCTTCACAGGACAGCAACCTTGTCTGCTTTTTGCTGACTTTTTTTTCTTTAAATTCTTTCTACTATATATAGCATATGACTCTCAGCAAATATTTATTGAATTAATAAATTCAGTGGTTGGTACCATTCCTTTTGCTTCCCATTTTTTGTCTGGTTTTAGGTCATTTAATGTTCATTTGTTCAGAGGCAGTTTAGGAGAAGACAGGGACTTGTATCTCTACCTCATTTAAATTGTATTTTAAGTTTAAGAAATTTCAGTCATTTCTCACTCATTTGTGTGGATAATTTTCTGAGCAAGCTGTATTTCTTTATTTGCATAATTGTTCTTTTCTACTGTGAAATAAATATAATTCCTAATTTAGTTACAGTTTACACATAATCTTAGTAATTGTAGCTAAAATAAATGTCAATTTCTGGCTTAGATTTCAACCTTTGTATTTATTTATGTGGATAATATTATTAAGGCTGCTCTTTATGTCCAAATAGTTGATGGCACATGTAAGTGATCATCCATGTTTAGTAAGGATATCTCTTTGATAGGCTTTGTCTAAAAGGCTTTTACTTTTTAGAAAAAAAGTCACTATAGGTCATTCGGCTGTTTTAAATAGCCCCACTTAAAGTTCAGCAAAATGAGGAAATCAATATTGATGCGTTTCTATTGCTTTTCTCTGCCTTTCAGAGTTGCCAAACTCTGAGTATCTCATCCATCTCTAGTAATGAGTTTATGTCTTAATTTTTACATATAAAATCAGAGGTGATTTGATATTTACATTGGAAAGTTGGTTTAATGGAAATATAATTGAGTTTTAAGTTTACTCGTCTTTAAATAATTGTATGTCTTTTAACAAGCCATGCAACCTTCCCATTTTCCAGTTTTCTCCTGTGCAAAATAACCTTGGACTAGATCATTGCTAACCTTCAACAACAGCCCTAAAATTAAATAAATAACCTTCAAGCAGAGTGTGTTCATATTTGTTTTTAAATTTCTCTAAATAGGAGCAAGGTAACGATAGGCATATGTTTAATGGTAGAAAGATCAGGCATGTGCCTTTTTGTCCATAAACAAAAACATTTCATTTTGTAATTCTCTAATGATGTTCTGGAAAAATTGAATAGTTTACAAAACCAAACCAAGTAAAACAACCTCCTGGACCCACACTACCATGCTTGTGTATCTATTAATACTGACGCAGCAATGCTTTTCCTTACTCCTTAAACAGTTTAGGCATACTCTCTATGTAGGTTCAAAACGTCATTATATAACCACACAGTTCTTTTTTTAAAAAAATATTTTCATTGATTTTTTTACAGAGAGGAAGAGAGAGGGATAGAGAGTTAAAAACATCAATGAAAGAGAAACATCCATCAGCTGCCTCCTGCACACCCCCTACTGGGGATGTGCCCGCAACCAAGGTACATGCCCTTGACCGGAATCGAACCTGGGACCCTTCGTTCCGCAGGCCGACGCTCTATTCACTGAGCCAAACCGGTTTTGGCTAACCACACAGTTCTTTAGGTTTAAAAACATCTCACAGAAGAGCAATATTACTGGAGCTCACTTTCCCTTTCTATCAAGGGCTGAGACTGTTTCCCCTCCTGGGCAGGGAGCTGACACAGACTCCCTGGGGCAGACCAGGCTAGAGCAGAGCTGTCTAGCTGGCAATGAGGGATTTAAGGAGATGGTGTGATGAGCTAAGCAGAGTGGAGACAAACGATGGTTTTTAAAATAAAACACTTTTAATAACAGTTACATAGTTATTCTTAGTTTTCTTTTGGTCAGGATATTATTTCACAACTTGAATGTTATTTCAAATAGCAGAAACGCCTGATATTTCCACTGTAGTCATAGAATGAAGTGGTCATATTTTCCATGTAACTAAAGTTTGAGTTAAACTTAAAATTCTCCCTTCAACTGTAGGGCTTTACTCAGCATTTATTGTGGAGTGCAGTCCTCTGTATAACTGCAGCTTCCAACTTAAGTGTTCAGGTTTAAACCACAGTAAACAATAATATTCTAAGCATTTTGGATGAATTGCTTTTAGGAAAGAATTACTCATTTTCCTCTTTAAAAAGACTGTGTAGCACAATATAACCTTTGTTGATGCTCTTACTCTTGGCCTGTTTCTATGAATGTGTCCTATGCAGTTTATTGCTCTTGGAGATTCTCAAGATACATAGAACGTTTTGCTACATGACCCCAAAAGATTGTTTGGAATTCATCTGCTTTTGCATATGCTGTCTCTTCTTACCAAGTTAGCTGTGATTTCTTACAACTCTGCCTGTATCTAACAGCTCTTTTTTTTTCTGCTTGCTCCATCCTGTGCTTCCATCCTGCCTTGCTCATTATGATTGGTTGTGAACTAGGAAAGAAGATAAGTAAATTTGTCATGTGTTACAAAAAAAATACAAAAAGCACCCAGAGGCTCGAGTTATGTGAGTGAGCTTTAGCACTCTGAACTACTTAACATTCTGGTTGCTGAATAATCAGAAAAAAAGTCTGTTCCTATGTTTGAATTTGGTGGATAAAGTGCAGGTGATATGAAATGAATATTGTTGGTGATAAAATCCTTTAAGTTACTTTAAATTCAGTGACTTACTCTTCTTGTTACTATTTGCTTTAGTATGCCTCATAAGACTTCATACCGTGGCTACAGTGAATTAATATTTTTGGCTAAATCTCTGTCATGCTCTGTGTAATGGAACTTTGGGTTGGGACTTGGATCAACATTAGTTATGTTGCTTTGGAGCAGGTTCAGTATTTTGAAAGATTCTTAGAATTCTAATAGTAGGTGTTCACATGGAGGTAGGGTGGTCAACTTTTCAGGTACTGGTTCTAGGTAGGCTTTACAATATTCACAAAAGGTCATTATCTCTTCCCCTAGCTAAAACTGGGTTCATATTCAAATGACAGCAGAGAATAGGTGTGCCCTATTCATTTTTTAGGACGTATTGTCTTAACTTCATCGCTGATGGGTAAATGTCAGAAGCTCAGTTGAGAGGTAAGATATTCAAGGAAGAATATGTGAAACTTGTCCACTCTTATAAGACTGAGGTCTTATAGGCTTATAAGATATACGTTTGGGTCAGTAAAATCATTGGAGAGCAGCTGGACATGTAGACTGCATTGATTCACACTCGCCTGTCCCCGTTGCTTTAGCCCAGTTGTGCAATGCTAAGATTATATCTGTCTACATTGAGAGTCATCAGAAGAAGCAATCACAGAGGGTCTTCTTGAAGTTGTTGTCAAGAAAATTGTTTATTATGTCAGAAAGCATCTTCTTTTGTGAAGATTTCTATGAAAAACATGTCTTATTTTAATGCCAATAATTATCTCTCTAGGTAATTGTTTTATATCTACTGAGCCCAAATGAGTGTATAAATGAAAACTTCTCTTTTTCTCATTCAGCTGTTAGAAATTTTAGTGTTAAATCTGTGGCCAACCTCTAAAACTGATATTGATCATCATCATAATATGTTTAGCCTATTCCAGCTATAATGAATAGGGAAATGAAAAAAATGTAAAATATTTATTTAGTACACTGTAATTTAAAACATTAGAAATATTGA